TAAATTAAATTTTATATTTTTTTTATTTTATTGCAATGTGGTCTATCCATTTATGCGTTATTAATATTTTTTTTAAAAAAAAAACTTATAAAATTAGAGGTACCATAATTGTAACGCCCTCAAAAAAATACGTAAAACCCATCACTTTAGACATACATTGACATAAAAGAAATCAACCATCTTTTCATTAATCAGAGTAGTTCTTACAAAAGTATTACATGTTAACAACAAAAGCAAGTGCCCTACGGACTTACAGCTTTCCAAGTTAACACTTGGTTGCAAAAAAAAAAAAAAGAGTACTAACTCAATACATATAAAGCCCTTAGCTTGAATTTACATGTAATACATCAAAAGAAAGCAAACAATAAAAGCAATCTGCCTGCCTCTAGCCTCCCAAGCTATGTCCTCGGAGGTGGCATGCTACCTGTACCTGAAAATGATGTTTCATAAAGGGTGAGCCACAGCCCAGCAGAAATACACTAAACCAGCTATGAACAATGACTAAAAGATTAGCAGTTGATAGATGGTCAACACTGATACACTCACTTATATCACATTTTAATTTCATGACATTTAAGTCCATGTTACCTTTCATTTCTCATTTCTTTTTCAATCTTGAGTTTGAAAACAAGGCTCAATACTTAGTTAAATAACTTAATGAGAATAAGACTCATCTTAAAAACACTTTCGAAATTCATGATGAATACACATTTTAATGTTGTATCAATAACACATAAACCACTCCCATACTACACGAACGATACACATTTTGGTGCTGTATCAACATGACATAAAAACACTTCTATACCTCACAATTGATAACGATATACATTATAGTGCTATATCAAATCAATCTAAACACTTCCATAATCAACACTTGATACACATTGTAGCGCTGCATCAATGTCATGCAAAATCCGGTTTAGAGGTCCATCCCCTATCTTCCCCTAAACCGTGGAGTACATCCTCTATCTCCTCCTACACAACACATGTATATAAACATAGGTCATATACAATCAATCAATACATAGAATTAATGTATTATTCCAGTTTCTATATTCAATAGCATACACAATCGATTAGTTTTAGTTTGCCTAATCATCATGCAGTGTCTACAACAATCAAGACTATCCTCCGCCGATAGCCCAAAGCAGTTATTTCTATATTAAAAATAAATGCACCAAATGGATATATAATCAACATTTCAACTAGGTGAGCGATGAACGAATCTAACTACACCCTTTAATCTCATACACATCCAATTCCAACATTCTCAATCTAATTCCTCTTTTCTTCAAATTAATTATACCAATTAATTTATCAATGTAATTAGAGCATTTCCCATAATTAACATCACAACCCTAAGGTTCCATTTTCACCAATAATCCATTATTGATCTCATTTCTCTATGCCAAACATGCATATAAGTTTATATAAACAAAACCCAAACTTTTGTAAAATTACACAAAGGCCCATACTTTCTCAAAATTACCCAACAACCCCCAACTCATCAAAATGCTAAAATTCAAAGACAAAACTCATGAGAAGGAGTAGGATATTCCTACCTCGAAGTTAGAGCTCAAACGGAGAAGAGACCAAAACCAAATTGCTCCAAACTCTAAACTTTTCGGATCAAAACGACGCCCTTGACGATCAACACAACTTTTACAAAGGCCGAAGGGAAAGGAAACACTCTATCTAGATCAAACCCTAGAGAGAAGGACGTTTCTAGAGAGAGAAGCTCTCAAAATCGATTTTGGGAAAGTTAGAGAGAAAGAAGAAAAGTGAAAAGTGATTCAAAAATGTCCAACTGCTATCTGATATACGACAGGTCCGCTCAAGCAGAGAACACAACGCTCGAGTGTCAAGAACAAAAAGCATAGTTAGCTCGAGCGCCAAGACACAGAGATAAAGCACATCCGCTCAAGTGCGAAAACCAGTCCACTCGAGCGTAGATTTCCCTCCCCAGAACTTTCACAGACAAAACACTATACGCTCGAGTGCCAATAGGTCCACTCGAGCGCAACCCGCTCGAGCGTAAGAAAATCCGCTCGAGCGTAGAAAACACACCTGCAGAAGTTTTGCAGAGGCACGGGATACTGGGAGTGTGTAAACTCCGCTCGAGCGCAAAAAGACCCGCTTGAGCGGTCAACCAAAAGCAAACTCCACTCGAGCGCAGAATGTCCCGCTCGAGCGTAACAGCAAAACTCTGAGCAACAACACTTGAGACCAAGACATAACCTGCCTGCTCGAAACACGCCCAACACATCCTAAAATTCAAACATAGGGAATTAAAGGACAGCAACAAGATACACAACTACTAACTCCACGGAACCAAAGTTCCGGAGTACAACAAATACAAAAAGGAAAACCGGGATCGCTATAATAATGGAATGGATCATATAATAGTTTATTTTGAATTTCACTTTGATTCCTCTAATTTTGCACTTAATTTTTTTTTTTGGTTCAAAATTCTAACAATAAGTGAAGAATGGATCACATTGCAATAAAATTAAAAGTATGCTGTTCAAATTGATATTATGAGAACTAAAGTACCACTTTACTTAAATTATAGAGACTAAAGCTATGTTTGGTTAGATGAACTGAATAAGAGGGGGTTGCAATCCAATTGATTGTTAGTCATGGGACTATTTATTTGTGGACTATTTGGCTAGATATGATTGTATAATTTATTCTAAAGGTTTTTTTTTTTTTTTTTGTGAACATTATACTTTTACAAATATCTGTACAATTATGTTAAATTAGACAAACAACTATTTAAAAAAATTCAACAATCTATCTATCTATACTATTACAGGTAAATTACGATAGTAATTTCTGTACTTTAGCATTTGTATCATTTTAGTCCCTATAATTTCAATTTATTTCATTTTAATTCTAAATTTATGATTGTATTTCATTGATTAGAGCTCTTAGCATTTTTTTTTAATGAAAAATATGTAAATAAGTGGTATGCATTATATTTTTTAAAATAAAATTATAAATTTACTAAATGCAGTGAGTTAACCTCAACTAATTCAGTAATTAGTTTCTGTTGAAAATACTAACGATATTATCAATTGAATCAAATAGACACAAAATTTAAAATTAATAGTTAAAATTGAGTCAATTGAGAGTAAAAGGACCAAAATAATATAAGGGGCAAAACATATAGACCACTGGCATAATTTGCCCTACTATTATATAAGCAAATTCGTTTTGCCTTGTTTGTAGTTGAAAATGTCAATATATTTTTCTCATATTTTTTAAAAATTTTATAATACTAAAAGTACACATGTTACTCTATAATTGGTCTAAAACTTAATTTAGATAAATTAAATTAATTTTTAAATTATCTTAACCGTCGCCAATAACATAGTAGTAGATTTCCTTGAATGACATCACAGTGGAGGTGTTTAGTACAGCTGTTAAAACATGTCATAAATTATAATTTAACGGATTATAAATTATAACTTTAATAAGAAGTTATTAAGCTGTTTGGTGCAACTGCCAAATTATAGATTTAAATTGTTGAGTAATATTTGGTAAGTGAGTTATGAAATAACTTTTTGATGTGTAGATGCCATTTCCACCCCTATTATGTGTAAACTGAATTAACCTTTGCTAAGCTTCGTTCGGAAAGTGGGTTGTCTTTTTGATTTTTTTACTATTTTAGTCTAGGCTAAAAAGTTTTGTTTGAGTTAGGTTTTTTGATTTTTTTGACTTTTGTGAAAGAAAAATTGAAATGTTTATGATTCGGGTGTGACATTTTGTCTTATTGATTTTTTAAACTATTTTGTTATTTTGTGACTATTTTAACCTGTTAACCCCAAAAACCAACATGTCAAACGAGGGCTTAGTTGTTAATTGAATTTAACTTTTTATTTTTTTGTAATTCACTACTAGTCCACATTTTCCATTAAAAAAAAAAAATCCACTGTCCATTTGGGCCTTTTTCTATTTTAAAAGAAAAAATCTAAAAGTAAATGGGTAAATTACATTGACACCCCTGAGGTTTGGTTTAATTATATCTTATCCCCTGACATTCTGAAAATTACGTTCTCACATCTGTGGTTAATAGCTTCATTTCACAAACCGCTACTCATATAAAAGGTAACAATTCCTAGTAGAAAAACAGAGAAATTACATTTTTAAAAAAATGTAAAGCAAAGGAAAAGAAAGAAAAAGAAAAAAAAAAATAGAAAAAGCAAAGCACAACAAGAAAAAGAGAGAGTACATGAGTTCAGTGTCTTCATCCCGTCTAAATAATTATATAGCAATTCCGATTTTGACCCATCACTTAATGTATTCTAGACTCGGGTTGGGATGGTTCTGAATGGTTATTCATATCTTGTTTCCCTTGTCTTCCCCTTATCTTGGTTATCGGGTTGTAGTTATGCGTTTGAAACAAGTTGGTTGCTTGTTTTTCCAAACCTTTGTTGTCCAGATTTTTGCTCTTCCGCTCTAGCGGGCATTCTTGCGCTCGAGCGAGCTTTACAAATTTTGCTCTTCCGCTCGAGTGGCCATTCTAGCGCTCGAGCAAGATTTGTCAACTCTCAATATTTTTGCAGGTTTGTAAATACTGGGAGAGTGCATTGGACGCTTGAGCGGGGTCCTTCGTCTGTAAAACTTCCGGAAGTGCATATCCCACGCTCGAGCGCTACTTTTCACGCTCGAGCGAAGCATTGTGTCTGACGCTCGAGCGTCGCTTTCCACGCTCGAGCAGACTGCGTGTATAACAGTCCGTGAAGATGATGTTCTTGTTCACTTTTTCATTTCTTTCTCTCTCGAAAACTTTCCAAAAAGATAAATCTTGAGTTTCTCTCTCTAAAACTCACATTCTCTCTTCTATTTCATCTAGATCCGTTGATCTTTTCACCCTTGTGCCTTTGAGAAAAAGGTAGAGCATTTCAAGATCTTCATTTTGATCTGAATAAAAGTGGGTTTCGGTGTTCTTGTAGTTTCACTTTTGCTTGGCTCGTCTTCTCTCTTTGAGGTAGGGATTTTCTACACTTTGTTATGGTTTTTAACTTAGTTGTTTGTATATTGTGTAACAATGGTGGTCTTGGGGGTATTATGGACAAACCTAGGGTTTGGGATATGAAATGAAAAGAGGGATTTTTGAGGAATGTGGAATAAGTGGGTTTGGGGTTTGAATATAAGATCATATTGTGTTAAAATGATTGATTTTGGTACATGGGTTGATATTTGGAAAAAAAAAAGGAATTTGCCCTAATGGGATCAAAAATGTTATTTTGGATAAATAATTGGAATTGACATTGGAAATGTGAAATTTGATGATTTGTGTTATAAATGATGGGAATTGATATGTATTAACTCATACCTTTGGAAATGTTTGAATAAACTACCTGTTATGAGATTGTATATCTGTTTAGAAATAACGGTATTGGGCTATCGGTGGAGGATAACCATGATTGTTGTAGAAATTGCCTGAGGATTAGGTAAATTGAAACTAATCTCTTGTTGGTTATCATTGAATATGACTATGTTAATACATTGTATATGTATGATTGTTTGGAAGGAGAAAGGGGATGTACTCCATTGTTTGATTATGTGTTTAAATACATTTGTATATGTATGAATGATTGTTTAGGAGGAGAAAGGGGATGAACTCCATTATAATTAAGTTGGCCAGAGTGTCCTAGGTGAAAGTCCCGAAATTATACATGGGTGTCGATCCTGCAGACGAAATATCCGTAAAATGACAAATTGAAATTATAAATGGGTGTCGATCCCGTGGACGAAATATCCGTAAAATGGCAACTTGAAGTGTTTATATGTTGATGATGTAAATATAGAACTAATGAGTTGTAGTCTCATTTGGGTTATCGAGATATGATGAAAGTGGCTTATGTGATGAAATGAATCGAATGAAATTGGATTTGGATCTTATGGCTATCTAAAAATGTGGATGTTTTATCACGGGCATTGTTTATGCATATTGTATTTATACTTTTGTTAAATCTCATATATTGTGTTAGATTATTCCTGCTAGGCTGGGGCTTACCCTATTTGGAAAAAACATTTTCAAGTAACTGGGAAGGACTTTTGGAAGCACAAGCTTCTTTGTTTTGATTGTATATTTTCTTTTTGTATAGCCAAGGGCTTATTTGTAAGAACTAGTTTCTCTTTTGTTGTAACCAAGTCAAGGCTTGGAAAGGTGTAAGCCGATAAGGCACTTATATATGTTAAACTCTTTTGTATCACTAAGCTTATGTAATGAAAGGCCTTTTACTCTGATTTATGTTACTATTAACAAATGTTTTAAGTTGTTTTATTGTATTATTTGGGAGCGTTACAAATTACAATGATAGGGGGTTAGTATAATTTCCCAAACGTCAAGGGATAATATGTATTAAACCTAACCCTCATGGGGCGTAAATGTAATTTACCCATATTAAATTAATATGCCCACAGCAGAAGCTCATAATTAGAAGCAGGGATGGACAACCTCTCATAATTAGTTTATTTTTTAGTTAAAATAAGTTATTAAAATAAGAAACTATGTGATATAAGTTTAACCAAATAGTCCAAAATAGTTTTTCCAAATCTATAATTTACAAGTTAGCCAAAATAAACCACACCAAACACCCCAGTATATGAAATGGTATTTTCTTCAACCAAAGACTTCTATAATATAATTCCATACCAAAACATTTTTTTTTTCAATCCAAACAAACAGAATATTATTTTCAAGGGTAAATCAAAAATATATTCCTTTAGATTTGCTTAAAGGGATTTTTGGTGAAAAGCCACTCTTATGGGGCTTTTTTTGCGTGAAGGACAAGCAATAAAATAATGGTCCCAAAAGTCCCTCAAATTAAAAATATGATGAAAAGACTAAAACACTTTTCCATATAAATGGTGAAATGCGAAACGGTTGAACTGTTCTCCCTTCACTTTTGTTTCATTGTGTCTCCTCCAAAAACCCTCCTTCAAAAACCCTTGAAACCTCGTTCCTCCACCATTGTTAGTCCTTGTTCTGCTCTCGCAACCGTTGGTCTTTGTTCCTCCATCGCCATGAGCGACGGTGCCGTTGGTCCTCGTTCCTCCACCGCCTTCTCTACGTGTCCCTCAGTCTCCAAGTTTTCCAGGTACTTCTCATTTTAATCTATCCATAATCTCTATTTTTTTTGGGGTGAATTCAATGATATTCTTTTATTTGTCAATTATGCTTGTTGAAATTGATTTGGTGTTTAGAGTATGGTTTTAAATTTTCATGTGATTTTATTGAAAATATTCAAGAGCGTTAATCTTTCTTCATTGAGAACTAGATTAATTTCTCTAGGATCAGAGCTTTATAGTTATAAGTGGTTAGTTTAATATAGTAATTTTATTGATCAGGCTTTTCCCATATACTATAAATAGAATCAATCTGGTGTTTCTAATTTTGTTTTACCCAAACATTGCCTCCACCTCTTGAGTGGTTCTTCAGTCCACTGTTTTAAGTGGGTCTAAAGCGGGTGGTGAACAAAATTGTTTTAGAAATTGTTTATTTGCTCTAGAAGGCTACAAAATTGATGGGATGGTGGAGGGGTTTGGTAAATAAAGTGCAGAATTTGATATAAAATTACCCAATCTATAACTCCAGAAATTGATATGAAAAATGGTCTTTTGGGGTAATGGTCATCTAGGCTTGTAACAAAAGGAAAAAGTGATGGTCCACCTCGTTTGCGGTGTTTGTGGAGGGTTCTACATGATGAGTAACATCTCTAATTTCATATAATTTTACGTACGTGGATGCATTCTTCACGTTTCCAACATGAGCTTGAATTTTTTTTCCAGTTCCAGTCTTTCAATTATTTGTTCTCTTATGCTCTTTGTATGCTTTTTTTGGGCATTGTGATGTTTCACTTTGCTTAAATGTCAGATGAATGGATATTATCTCTGTTTTTTGTTGGTAATAACATATAATTTTTTTAATATTACAATGTATGGATTATAATGTGAGTTTGTTCGATATTCACTTCCTTTCTTGTTGCTTTTGACCTGAATTGAAGCCCCCAAAATGGTCAATTTTGATGCAGCTTGGTGTGTTTGGTAGATTTCAATTTTGCTTTTCTTGTTGCTTTTATGTGATTTAATTGCATTAATTTTGAAGGTAAGTGATAGGGAAGATGCTTTCCTGCTTTTTTGCTGCTTTATTGACTTATGTTACGGACAAAACTACTAATCAATCAGGGTAAAATTTTACTTTCAATGAGAGTAACATTTTACTTCTAAATAGAGTAAAGTTTTACTTTCACTGTAAAAATTATTGTACGGGGAGCAAATATTCCGGCGTGCCCGTATTCCTTTCTTCCGAGCTCCGTCGATATCCGATCACCTGCGAGCAAATAACGGTGAGCTACCCGGCGGTGTGTGGCCGGAAACACCCTCCGACGGTCAAATTAGCACACACCTTAGAGGGAATAGAGAGAAGGGAGAGAGTGTTTGAGTGTAAGAAATTCCTTACAGAGTGTTCGTCCGTCGCGTATGGGGGGCGCAGACATGCTTATATACCTTCTGAGCCCTATATCCACTCCCTATCATCTCCTGACACGTGGCTCTGCTATCCCATCTGTCAGCATAAACCATGCCATTCATCACCTGCTCTCAACTGCCTGTCAGCACAGCTGGAGCTCGGCAGCCGAGCTGCCCTACCTCGGTCGTACCATGCTTCATACCTTAAGCGCCTAACCGGATAAACAAACGGAGGACCGGGCTAAGCGGCATCCCGGCCGAGCCTAGCCCGGATACTTACTTTGATCGGCCTTCCTGCCGACCATACAGTCTCCTCGGCTGACCACGCCTTTCCGGGCACCGGCCACTCAACTTCCTCGGTTGTCCATGCCTTCCTGGCCGCCAGTCACTCGGTCAATCCGGCTGTGGCCATCTTCGGACCGGGCACCCTGGTCCGACCGAGCACTGCCTTACCGAGTAGTTTCTGTCCGGTCCGGGGTGACACTCAGCCCGTACTCAGCCCGGCCCAAATTCTGGCAGCCCACTTTGGGCAAAAAGTCGATCGTCTCGCACCTATGCACTGTTGGGCCCTCAACTTGCTCGGCCGTTACCTCGGCCCAACTCCAGATCACAATTCACCCTCTCAATTATTGTTTCATTACAATATTTGTTCATTTTTTCCTACTTTTTTTCTTTATTTGGCCTCATGAATATTATTTGTTTATATGTTAGAAATGGCAAGTTTTATGATTTTGTTGATTTTCAAATTTGAGTAAATCTAACAAGATTTTGATTTCTATTAACAGTGTTGATTGCAGAATTATTGTATGTTATAGCATACATCAAATCATGAGAGATGAGCCTATTGCAAAGTCTATAGAAGATGATGAAATTAACAATTTTCAAGCATCAATAGTACATTAATTTTTGAATGATTCTCCAAAAGTATGGAGTGAGGAATAGTTCAACCTCAAAAGAAAAATAGCCAAGTAATAAGACCTCAAGGACGATGATGTAGACGACTTTTGGGAACTCATTTTTTGTATCTGATGTGAATGATGAATGTAATTTTGTTTTTTTTGTAAATGAAAAAATGTTGAAAGAGCAATTGTAGGTGAAAGAATTCTAAAAAAGTAACAATGATATAAGTTATACCTGTTATGGATTAGTATGGAACATTGTTATAGAACATTGTTATGGATAGAATACAGTGATATAGTTTATATTTTGTGTCTCTTGATAATATATGTAGTTGTGGTGTTATATTATTTTTGCACAAAGATTGTGTTATGAGTAGTAGGGATTTTGTGTATTGTTGTAAATTTTGGTATAGGTTGGAAATGTTTTCCTATAGGACTCACATATTTTAAATTTTACTCTGCAATAGAGTAAAATTTTACCTTTAATTCAGAAAACAAATCAGAAACTTGCATAGACAAACATTCAACAATACAGTAAAATTTTACTTTCAATTCAGAGTAAATTTTACTCTAAATAAATAAAATTTTACTCTAAATAAAGAAAAATTATTCTGAAATAAAGTAAAATTTTTCTTTCATCTCAAGAAAACTAATGTTTTACTATCTTTTAGACTAGAATTTCACTCATATTGAACAAACTCCAGCATAGTAAAATTTCACTTTCATGTTAAGAAAAGTAATGTTTACTATTTTTTAGACTAGAATTTTACTCAAAACTTCATATTAACAAACTCCATTATAAGTTCCTTTACATGAAACTAATCCAACCACACGAAGAAAAAAAAAAATTAAAATGTCAAATTCAACCACAAAGCAAATCATAAACTTAAATAGACAACCATTCAACAACATAGTAAAAATGTCTTTTATTAAGCACGTAGTATTGACCCGACACTCGTCATTTTTTACATACATAAACTCAAATCCTGTCTCAATGGCATATTTAGATAACGCAGTCTGAAAATCCTTTGTACCTCCAACAAATCTTTGACCTACATGAGTAATTCCATTCACCCATCCAGAAGACAACAAAAGTCTTTTCTTCATAGTGGCAAAACACAGTAAATAAATCCATTTCATCATCAATAATGTTGGGTTTATTTGCATAACAACATAAGAGTTGGAACCATTTTTTAAATCAGCAATCAGTTAACAGTAAAAATTTACTGTCAATCAAAGTAAAATTTTACTGTCACTACGAATCCAAAAACAAATCACAAAAGTACAGAATACCAGAGTAAAATTTTACTGTCATTCTATTAAAAAAAAACAGAGCACATATACCAGAATAAAATTTTACTCTCATTTTATCAAAAAAAAATAGAGCACATAACACCAAAGTAAAATTTCACTTCCAAATAAAAAGCAGAGCACATAGAATCAGAGTAAAATTTTACTTCCAAACAAAAATAGAGCACATAGTACCAGAGTAAAATTTTACTCTCTTTCTATCAAACAAAAACAACTAATCAATCCTAAAAAAAAAATAGGAAAAACTAAACAACAAATCAATATATCTGATCAAATTCGAACAATAATCAAACACGTGATCGAAGCAAAACCTTTAAAACTCAATCAACACTCTCAATCTTGATGAAACTCTCAAAATCTTATACATATTTGTACATATTTGAAATATAAAGCTCTCATTGATACTGATTTCTAGATTGTAGGAGAACACGTGATTGAAGCAAATTTAGTGAGATTGTCGGCGGCGAATCACCTATTGTTGATCGACTGCGAGATTGTCGGTGGTGAGATCTTCAGATTTCGAGATCAAGTTTTTGCAAGATCTTCACTAATTAAATTTTCAAATATATGAGATTGTGTATATATGGATCAGATTTTCAAATATATATATATATATGTATGTATATATGAAAGGGCAATATTGTCCATAAAAAAGAAAAAATAATGGCATGTCCTTTTTGAGCTACTCTCCTATTTTTCAGGGATTTTCTGAAACTAAATTAACTAAACTGTCCTTTATCCTAGAAAAAAGTCCAAAAAAGAGGGTTTCATTAAAAATCCCTTACTTAAACTATATGTTATTTCCTATGATTTAAAAAATTATAAATATTTTATTGTCAAAATTTTTTATTTAACAAAATTAATTGAAAAAATAAAATTCATAACAAATCTCCAATACAATAATAAAATTACATAAATTATTAATTAAAATATATTTATGACATCATTAAAAATTGTTATTTGATTTAATAATTTATTAATAAAAAATTATTTATTGTGAAATTAAAATCTCAAAAAATAAAATATAATTTTTAAAATTATATAGAATAATTCATATTAGGGCTGAGCAAAGAATCCGTGAAATCCGTAATCCGATCCAGTCTAGTCCAATCCAATTTAATCTAGTAGGTTTGGATTGATTTTTTGAATCTGTGGTTTGGTTCCAGATTGAAAAATTAAAAATCCGTAGTTCACGGATTGGTTCTGGATTGAACCCCACGGTTCCGGATTGGAACCGATCCGGGCCGTATACAAATAGTCTATATTTTTATTATACACCATCCTGCATATTATCTTCTCTTATTTCATATAAAACTTAAATCCAAGTCTAAACTTGCATAGTATCTTCTTTTATTATTTTTGTTTGCTAGTATTTAGTGTTAATTTGTAATGGTCTAAATACTTATAGTGGAACTAGTTTTCTTATGATTGTTTTAATTCTAGAACAGTTTGTCACTATTATGAAAAGACATGTTGCTATTGTGAAACTAATATGATACTATATTTATATTTTTATAAAATTAAAGTGTTATATATATTTTTTGTTATTTAATTATATAAATCCGTGGTCCTAAACCGATCCAATCCGTGTTTAAATTGATTGGCTCCATGATTTAAATGGATTGGATTGGTTTGGTTCCAATTTTTCAGGATCCGTAAATAATGGATTGGTGCTGATTTTACTTCAATTCGGACCATGCTCACTCCTAATTCATATTTTAAATAAAATTCAAAACTATTTGTAATTTATCATATTTAAAAAAAAATAGATTTTGTAAACAAACCAACAATAGTAGATGTAATGATACATAATTCTAATTTGAGAGCTTTAAATAGAATTATAGTGAGGTCAAAAAGAGAGAACATAAAGAGAGATAGAGAAAGTAGTGTGAGTCTAGGGGTTATTTGAGATGACCTAAATAAGTGTATTTTTTATCTTTTTATGAAAAGATATACAGAAAAATAAAGAAATAATTTGATAAAAAAAATAAAAAGATAAAAAATATGTACTTATTTAAGATAGTCAAACTTGACCTTAATTTCACCTAAGGACTCTATGTACTTATTTAAGATAGTCAAACTTAACCTTAATTTCACCTAAGGACTCTCTCTATCATTAAAGTTATATTAAGGCCAAGTTTGGCTATTGCCAAAAAAGTGCACTTATTTCATTTTTTTATCTTTTTTGGGTCACATCAATCAACATCTCCTCTTTACTTTTTCTACACATAATACAAAAAAAATCAAAAAGTGCACTTATTTAGCCTTCCCAAACTAGGCCTAAAACTTTCAAATTAAAACCCTTACACATTATTGAGACCATTACTGGTGTGCCATCACATGGCCACTCCTTTTCTGCTGACATGCCTTTACTTGTGTTTTCAAAATGTTTTTTCTCACTTAAAATCTTCACCAAACAAAAATGCTTTAGAACTCTAATATAGGAGCTCTAATAGCTCTAATGAGAATATAGGATCCATTTTGATGTGATATTTGTGCCTTGTCTTATTTATTTATTTATTTTTTATTGCTTGGACACATCACTAGAGCTCAAATTAGAGCTCTCTAGCATTTCCCTTTCATCAAATTGGACAAAAAACAAAACACAGGTAAATTTTGAAAAGGATTTTTGGTTTTTTGGGCTAAAATAGCATTCAAAGATAAAATATGCTAAAATAACTAATAAAACAAAATGTCATATCAAATTCATAATTATTTTATTTTTTCTCTCACAAATATCATATTCAACTATAAAAAAATCTCACCCTCTCCTCAAACATAACTATTTTAACCTATTAAAATAGCCAATATTTAAAATAACCTATTAAAATAGCCAACTTCTCAAATGTGAAGGCTCCATTAGGGTTGTTTTGGAAATATAGTTAAACAAAAATGGTAGACACCTCAAAAATTCTATCAAATGTCTCACATGGGTGTGAGATCCACAAGGGACACACATTGTATGGGTTCCACACTCATGTGAGACATTTGGTAGAAACTTTGGTATAATTTTTGGGATCTCTAGCATTACTCATAGTTAAAAGTTAACTTTTTGATTCTTTTTTTTCAAAAAAAACGTGTAAAAAATATTAAAAATAATATGACCTAAAATGAATTAAAAGTTAAAAAATAATTTTTAACCATCCTTTTAAAATAGCCGTAGAAAGCTACTGTTGGGGATTACCCATTAATATCATGCGTGCCAACCACCAACATATATAAACTCGTTACACTGCCAACCACCAACATATATAAACTCATAACACTGTATTTTGTAAGAGTATTCACACTAGTCTCTATAAATTAAAATTTTTAATTAAATATAGTTAGCAAATCATGAAACAATGCTCCATCTGACTCAAAAATCTAATTTACTGGCAATTGAATAGTTTATCTTTTTCTTTTTTTCTTTTTTGGGAGGGGGGGATAAACTTTATCTCCACTATTTTGACTTTTTTGAGTATTTTTCATTGAGGGAATGAATGATAAAATAGAATTAGAATAGAGAGTCTAATGAATGATACAGTTAAAACAGTAATTAATTAAAATAAGAAATTAGTTTTTTTAAATTAGAATTTTTTAAATTGATTGGCTCCATGATTTAAATGGATTGGATTGGTTTGGTTCCAATTTTTCAGGATCCGTAAATAATGGATTGGTGCTGATTTTACTTCAATTCGGACCATGCTCACTCCTAATTCATATTTTAAATAAAATTCAAAACTATTTGTAATTTATCATATTTAAAAAAAAAATAGATTTTGTAAATAAACCAACAATAGTAGATGTAATGATACATAATTCTAATTTGAGAGCTTTAAATAGAATTATAGTGAGGTCAAAAAGAGAGAACATAAAGAGAGATAGAGAAAGTAGTGTGAGTCTAGGGGTTATTTGAGATGACCTAAATAAGTGTATTTTTTATCTTTTTATGAAAAGATGTACAGAAAAATAGAGAAATAATGTGATAAAAAAAATAAAAAGATAAAAAATATGTACTTATTTAAGATAGTCAAACTTGACCTTAATTTCACCTAAGAACTCTCTATATCATTAAAGTTATATACTTATTTAAGATAGTTAAACTTGACCTTAATTTCACCTAAGGACTCTCTGTATCATTAAAGTTATATTAAAACTTTCAAATTAAAACCCTTACACATTATTGAGACCATTACTGGTGTGCCATCACATGGCCACTCCATTTCTGCTGACATGCCTTTACTTGTCTTTTCAAAATGTTTTTTCTCATTTAAAAACTTCACCAAAATGGACCACAAACAAAACACAGGTGGCGTTTGGAAAGAGTTTTTTTAAAAAAAATAAAATAAAATAGGTTAAAAAAAAAATTATATTAAATTTATAATTATTTTATTTTTTCTCTCACAAATATCATATTTAACTATAAAAAAATCTAATTATCTTTTCAAATAAAAATTTTTTTTCCTCAAAAAATAATAAAAAACTAAAAAACATATACTAAAATAATGGGTTCGTTTGGTTTGTATTTGTGAAAAATTTTTGAGAAATTTTCTCTATAAATAAGTTTTTAAAAGTAATCAAACCAAACAAATTTTTCCAAAAAAATCTCTCAAAACTTGTAAACCAAACAAGTTTTCCAAACAAATCTCTCTCTCACACACATCAAATCAATCACTTTTTCCAAAACTCTCTCTCAAAATAATTTTTCAAAACATCTTTTGAAAAAAATCAAACCAAACAACTTTTCGTACTTTTTATCTCTAAAACACATCTCTCAAATACAAACCAAACATACCCAATAACTTTCCAAACACCCACACAATCTAGCCAACCCCAAAATACTTGCTAGTTTATCCAAGATTAATAGTTGTTCCATCTTTTTGTTTTTTGTCTTTATTTTTGGGTAGGTGGAAAAAAAAAATGGAATTGGTTTCAGGGACTCCTGGAGCTCTCTCTCTCACTCACTCATATATATGGTTTATGTACTTATGATCATCTTTTCATGTTCAATGGTTAAGCTAGGTTTTTTTTGTTGTGTTTTTTTATTGTTGCAATTCATGGTTTCTTTTTCCATTTTCAATTATTTTGTAAATAGATTTTGTAAATAAACCAACAATAGCAAGTATTTTTCATTAGAATTAGCAAGTATTTTCATTAGCAAACATTAGCAAGTATTTTGAAAAAATGATTAAAAATTATTTTTAATTTTTTTTGAAAGAAAGAAATAAAATAAAAATTAAAAAATAACTTTTAGCTAAGGTTGTTTGGGATGACCTAAATAAATATATTTTTTATCTTTTTACAAAAAGATATGTAAAAAAATAATAAAATAATATAATATAAAAAAGATAAAAAAATAAAAAAATATATTATTTTTGAATTGTCAAACTTTACCTTACTTTTCAAAATCAGTTTTGTTTTCAAAAAGCAAAAACAACTAAAGCAAAGCAAACCCCACGCAACAACTCCACCTGAATTCTCCTTCCTGTCCCCACTTCCCGCAAACCCTAGCAATCTCATAGTTTGTGTTGTGTGTATCATAGTGAGAGAGAGAGAGATAGATTGGAAAGAGGATCTTTATGAGTGGAGTGGGTTTTAGATTGGAAAGAGGATCTTTATGAGTGGAGTGGGTTTTAGCTTTCTCTCTCTCTCTCTCTCCCTCCAAAGTCTCTCTCTCTACAGTGATTTCTGTCGCCCTCAATCGCGACTTTCTCACCACTTCCTCTATCTCTCTCTACAACTTTCTCTCTCTACATATAAATTAGGGTTTTGTTTTTATTGGTCAGATGAATCCCTCCTCTGGTGGTGCCAATAAGGACTCTGAAGAGGAGTCAGCCACTGTCACTACTTCTTCTGCTTGTTCTTCAGCTCTTGAACCAGCAGCGGCGGCCAAGGGTTCCGACAAGCTCGAAGCCGGCGGCGGTGGTGGTGAAGACAAGGTGGCGGCGGAGAAGGTGGTGGACGATCCGATGGAGGAAGATACGGTGAATCCCTCGACTGTTTTTTGTATTAGGCTGAAGCAGCCTAGGTCTTATTTGATGCACAAAATGAGTGTTCCTGAGCTTTGTAGGAATTTCAGGTAATTCTCTTGTCTTCTTCATGTTTGGATGATGAAGAAGAATTCAGTGGGATTTGATTGTTTTTGAACTCTATTTGAATTAATTTGCTTAATTGTTCAATTATTTTGACTGGCATTTAGTTAATTTTTGGTTACTGGTTTTGAGGAATGGAAAGCAAATTGGATTGTTAAGGTTGAAGGAAGAGATAGCTACTTGGAAATGAGTAACTAAACTGATATATTGCTTACTGAAATGGCTTCAAAATGCCAACTTTTTACTCATATCACATGATCTGTTAGTTAGTTCAACACGGGCTCTCTTTTGCACACACCGATCCTCTGTCGATTGGAATTTGACTATCGTATTTCGATTTCCAACTTAAAAGTTGAAGTTATATAAACTAATGCAATCATCATAGTTCAAGATTAGAATTGATGTTTATAAGATTTTAACTTGAAATTCTAAGTTATATATAAACAAATGCAATCATCATAGTCCTTATCCAAAAAAACCAATTTCCCTTAATCACTTCAGATGGACCTTTTTCTGGTTTTATTTCTTGTTTTCTTTAACAATATTTAATATGTCTCCAGCTGTCATTACTCAATCCAAACCGAATTCTGCTGCCAGTTTGCAGGATAGGCTTTGGGTTGCTGGGGTGGGCCTTTTAACTAGGTTGTAAATGACCACCTTTAGGAAGACCGAGTGCTTATAGCTCTCGTTGCATGGTTGGACTTATTACCTTCCTGCAGCCACATGTTGTCATTGTTTCTTTATATATTTTTTGATAAATGGAAGTATAATATGAAAATTGTTGTAAGGGGGCGAGCCACATACACTCAAAAAGCCGGAGCCAAGAAATTGTACATCCACTGGCATGTTCAAGTCTCCTATTAAGTTCACAAAAGACAAAATGAAGAAACGACAAGCCCCAACTTAAAATTTAGAGAAAGGGGTACTAGGGATCATTTCAGACTGCTAAGGAAGCTCAACATTCTCAAAGGATCTTCTATTGTGTTCAGCCCAAATTGTCCGTGGACAAGCTTATCACCAAATGTCGATTTGATTGGGCGGGGGGTGGTTTGGTTTCATAAAGGTTGCCGTCTTCCAATTCTTCTTGTTTGACTTTCTTGGGCAACACAAATCCCAAACAACTAGGAGTTCACCCACAACACGAAACCCCATTGGGACAGTTTTTTGTGATATATGAACATGTTGCTCATTCATATATATCGTCTCAATAAAACATTAATTGCTTCTTAGAAGGAATCTAGTTTTGATTTTTGAAAAGCTTCTAGCCAATATAAAATTTGAGTTCATGAAATTTGTGTTGGAAGGAGTACAATGAATTGTTGTTTAAAAGAGGGTGCTTAATGATTTGATGGTTCAACTTTCAAAGGTCATATCGTGGAGTGGGTATGGTTTGTAGATAGGCAGGATCCTTTTGATGCAAGAATTGGATTGAAGATTGAAGAGGGGGATAATATCATTTGTTTCATGTGAAAATTGTTTGTCCAAGGAGAAAAAGAATATTATCAAAAAACAGCTACACCAAAAGAAATCTGTGTAGTTTAGGATAAGATTGGGTGTGCGATAAGACCTATTATCAGATCTCAGACCCAATGTTTTTAAAGGCTGAAGGCGCATCAAGGTGCCGAAGGTCACTTGGGGCTTAGTCGCAAGGTACAAGGCACAAGGCGAGGCACGTGCTTCACTGAACCAAGGCGCACCTTTCCAATAAAAGGTTGATAAATTAATAGACTTGTATTTCAAACTTCAACAAAAGCAAAATAAAAGAATTCACAAGTTAGAATAAGCACCAAGTCAAAGAATTAAAAAATAAATAAAAGAACTAAGGCAAATTGTAGAAGACTTCCCAAAACTATAAATGTACATATCATTCCAAATGCAAAAATAATCAACATTCTACAAAACACAAATATTCAAAAGCACCAATATTTAAGTTTATACATCTCAAAACATCTAAAGCAAATTAAAAAGTTAAATATCAAACATAAATATCCAACAAATAGTAATACAAAAAAGAAAAGAAAAGGGTGTATTGAAACAAACAGAAATATCGAACAAAGTGTATTTTTTTAATTTAATTAATTTATTGTGTGTTTGAGTTGAGAGCTTTAATACCTTGTGGCAGCATGTGTATCATAGTACCCAAAAAAACAAAAAGAGGTAACGTCTATATCTGGTATTAAAACAAAAACCAAAAGGCATATAAATGAAGTGTGCGACTTTTGTGCCTTAAGTGTGCGCCTTGCTGCGCTTCTTCGAATGGGCTGCGCCTGGGTTGTACAAGTCGCACAAGCTGTGCTTCTCTGCGCCTTGTGTGTGGGTGTGCCTTTTACAACACTGCTCAGAGCAGTTCACTCCAACTGATGGGTTTGGGACTTTAATACTTTGCTTATCCCTAAGAACCTAGCTTTTCCTTGTTATTGGTGGAGCCTGAAACAAGAATAAACTTAATTAAATTAGGAAAAGGAAACAAAAAAATTAGTGTTTGGTTAGATTTGGACTCTAAACTATTTTCTTGTTGGTTGAGGTTTTTTCCTTCTTAGTTTAGGTTTTGGTTTCCTTATTAATTTAGGATTGGGTTTAAGGTTAGCCATATAAATACACCCATGTAGCTCTATGTTTTTTAATTTATTCATTAGTTTTGTGATCTTAGAGAGAGATACACAATAGTGGGAGTGAGAGATAGATCATTGTAGAGAGTTTGTGAGATTGAGTGTGAGAGACTCTCGTAACTCCTTTCATATTTATCTTGGCAAATCTACAATGACTCTGTGGATGTAGCCCGTGATTTGGGTGAACTATGTAAATCTCTTGTTTTGCTTTTTGAGTCTGTTTTTTTTGTTATTTTACTTCTCCGTTCTAGATTCGTTGTGTGCGTGATTGTTTGCTCTCAAGTCTTGGAGTTTGGTATTAATCATATATACCATAACATTCCTGAGGTTGGGGATCTATTTTCAACTTTCTTTTACATCATTCCATTAATTGGAGACTAATTGAGTTTGTTCCATTTGGACACCTCTTGCTTTTGGGCTAAAAGTAGTTCCCAAGATCTTTGGATATGTGATTATGTATTTTGGAAATTATAGGCATTTCCTTTGCGGTAGTATCTTGCTTCATGCAGATTTAGTGATCACTGGTTTTGTGGCAGATCATCAGGCTAAGAGGAGATGATCATAGTTTTTGAAGATTTTTTTGGGTACTATTATCTTTTTGGTCTTCTTTAGTTGTGTTCTTAACTTGTTGGCTTTTTTCTTTCTTGGATACTGTACATCAATGTTTTATCATTTTGCATGCTGCAGAGCATCTTTCCCATCTTTGCCTTATTTTTAATATTAATTTTTTTTTACCTCTAGCACAACATCTTATCCTTTCCTAATCAACAAACAGCCATGGTAATAGTATCGCTCAGTTTACAACCAACTTGATGTGCCCTTGTTATTATAGCTTTCTTGCACTTGCACATCTACAACCTTCTTCACAAATATTCTCATCTTGTCTTCAGTATAACATCCTTTAAATTTAGTCCTATTGAGTACTCCATGCCATATTTTCTATTTGTTGATTCTTTGGATATCAAAGCATATGGCACTTATCTCACATCCTTATAAACCTTGATTATTAGCTATTGAGTGTTATATTCTTTGCAAAACCAAGCTGGGTAACTAAGTATATAAGCACACTTGGTTGTACAGTCAAAAGATTAAGGGAGGCGTAACCCAGAAAATTTAGTTCTTAGTGTTTTTAACTGTAATTATCTAATTTTTGGGCCATATTTGATATCCTTGTCCCAAAGTGGAGACTATCTTTTTTCTTACGATGGAATGCACCTATCTTTTCTCCCCTTAATGGTTATAATAATTTCAATATGTACTTTCTGTTTTTTTTTCCAGTGCTGTTGCTTGGTGTGGGAAGTTAAATGCTATAGCATGTGCATCAGAAACTTGTGCAAGAATTCCAAGGTTAGTGTTTCATGTTGAAGTATATTTGTTTCTTAGCAAAATACAGCAGAAGCATATGCTAGCTTAATGGTTTTCTAAATTCCTGTACTTTGGTGCTTGGCAAATGCTCTAGAATGGGGACATAATGTAAGATGCAGTTTTATACCCTGCCGCTTATATTACATATATGTGTTATAAATTTTTGTTTTTAGAAAGGTGCAATGCTATATTTAATGGAGAAATCCTAACACAAAAAGGTTTAGGAATTTTTTAAACTTGGCGTAAAGTCTTTATCTCTTGGAATCTTATATGTGCAATATGCTGTTAGGCTGGTGAAGCTGAAAGGTAGTGCTTTGCATGGAAACCCTCAATTTTGTGAAAACAAAAGGAGATAAAGGATTTAGTGAAAGCACGTATGGTTTGTTTTAAAATTGGCTCTTCTTCAATTTTGTGAAAACAAAAGGAGATAAAGCATTTAGTGAAAGCATGTATGGTTTGTTTTAAAATTGGCTCTTCTCTTTGCTTTTGTGTGTCACATCTTCCAAGCTTCTCATTCACAAGAGAAGAAGTACGAGAGAAGAGAGGAGGGTGCAAAAGTGACTTCCATGACTCATATAAGAGAAGATAGTTATCAATGTATTGACGAGGGAGATAAGAGAAGGGTAGAGGGAGAAGGCAGAGAAGGAGGGCCATAGAGAGCTCAAAACTGCTCCAAATGTTATTTCTTTCTCCATCTCTGTGGGGCTGATCCTGTTTTATCCAAATTTTAGCCACTATAGTGACATATCAAGACTTGAAATTCCCCTCCTAACCCGAAAATGTCCCCTCGCCCCCCCACCCCACCCCCCACCCCACCGGGCGAAAATATATATATATAAGAAATATATTTAAAATTTCTAATATAAGTATGACTGAAACTGTTTAAACGATCTGATTGATATATCAGATCATTAATGGGGAAGTTTGTTAAATTTTTCTTATTTTATTTCTAAAAAATGTATTGCATGTAATTAATGTTTCTCTTGATTTTTCTTTTCTTCTTGTAGTTCTAATGCAAATCCACCATTTTGGATCCCTGTACATATTGTGATCCCAGAGCGACCAACAGAGTGCGCAGTGTTCAATGTCATAGCAGGTATTATGAGCCTAGCTTATTAGGGTTGTTCTGTCATTTGGTTGTAGAATTCTCACTGACTTGATCTTGCTATGAAAATCTTATAGTTATTTGGTAAGCAGAGTTTTATTGATCTACTGTGGTAAGGTAGGCTGCAAATTCTTATGCCATTTAAAATTGAGGCAGATACTAACCCTCTCTTGAACTGTTTGTAAAATCATAGTTTCTCTTTGTTTTGACATTATGAAAAGCCAGAAAATTCACCTGTAATTTTTCTTTGCCTTTGAATGGATTGGGTGAATCATTTTTCCACCATTGCTAACCCAAGGGCTATATCCTTAGTTAAATTATATAAATTCACACACACATATATATAGGTTTAATTACAGGGACCTCCTCTGACGTTTCTGACAATTATAGGGACCTCTCTTGTAATTTCTGAAAGTACACTAACCTCCCATGTCAGAGTTATCAGCTAATTGTGGTTAATGATAAATGTAAAGTTACCTTTTTGTTCCTTTACAGATAGTTATTTCCATGATACTATATTTGATGATTTTTTGTTTGATTTCCAGTTATAAAAAAAAAAAAAAAAAAAAAATTCCACTCTCCTGTATACACAAAACCCATCACCAAACAATCCCTTTCTATCCTATATATGTCATTTGGGTTTCAGAACAGTGCCCCTCCCCCTAATATTTCCATTTAAGATAATCACATCTTTATCAAGAAAAAAACTGACTACTAATTTTCAATTTTGTCAACTATTTATTAGCTTTCAATCTTTACTGAAATCTTTAAACTTTGCTTTAATCTTTGGCTTCTAATCATGAAGTTTTAAAAAAATTTGTCTTGTGCTGTGTTTATTTTGGTAGCTCAAGTCTGTGTGGTGGTGACTTGTGGTGCTGCCCTATATGGCTTTATCATTATCTTGATGTTTGATACTTTCAGTATCACAGGCACTGGGTGGCTTACCTTGGAAGTATTTGGAAAATTCTTACACATTTAATTTCAAAATTCGCTTATCAAATATATATATAGTTTTTTGCTCAACAACAAAAGATGTTATTGATAAATCAAAAAAGGAACAAGGATAAGGCCAAAATTTGTTTATCAATTGACCTATGATAGCAATCAGAGAAATTTTGGTCATCGTGGGACAACAAAGCTAATAAAATTGTCATTTACATTGCTTATTTTGTTAAATTATTTGATGCAAAAGTAATGGCTTGTTGGAATTTTTGTCCTCATCTTTGAGCCTTTGAATCATTGATGAATAGACTCTGTTTATTTGGATCATGTCAGTAATTTATTAATTCAACTGTTGTAAATTGTAATTTTTGTTATTAGTTTCATTAGTATTTCCATTGTTTCTGTTTCTTTTGTTGTAGTTTTTGTAACATCTGTGGCATAGTAAATAAATTGAAGATGTAGGTTGTTCAATGTGATCTATTATTTGTTCTGCTTTATGCTGAGTTGTTACTCTTGTATTCACATTGGGTTATAGTTCTGTGAATTAATCAGTGCTATTGGATGCCTTCGGCAGATTCTCCTCGTGATTCTGTTCAGTTCATGGAATGGTCTCCTACTTCGTGCCCTCGGGCCTTGCTAATAGCTAATTTCCATGGGCGGATAACTATCTGGACTCAGCCTTCTCAAGTAAGCTAGTGTTGTTGAAACATTTTCTACAATTACTTAGATGGTGGCCTTTGTTTTTATTGTTGGTCTATGCTTTTGCCACTGCTCATGTTCTAAACATGAAATTTTATTGGTTGACAAATTCCCCCCTCCCGGTTCTTCCTACTCTCATATAATTATTTCCTTGACGTGTGCCATATATATGTAGTTTAGGATTTAGTTTCTTTGTTTAGTTATTTCTTTTTGCTTTGTTTTATTTGTTTGGACTACAAATGATGGTTTATCTTTTAACCTATGGGGGTTGTCCACATATTTTTAATAGTCATATGACTATTTAAGTGAACAGTCACATGATGCACTGGGATTGTGACACCTAAGCAGGGGGGTTTAGGGTTGGTTCCAGCGATTCTTTTAAAACATTAGCTTTTATCACATTTTGGTAGTTTGAAGAGACAATATTGCTGGTTAATTTTTTCCCTTTCCTCTCTTTTGCCTCCTCTCTGTGCCTCTGATTCCCTGCTTCTGCTTATCTGCAACTCTCCCTCTCTGCTGCTGTGACTCTGCAGGTATCTCTGAGCATCTCTTCTTCTTTGTTCTCTGCTCCACTACTGCTGTGTCTCAGTTTCTCTGCAACTTTTCTTGTCTGTTCTTCCCTGTTGTTTTCAACAACTTATCTTCTGCATCTTCTTTACTCGCCCGAGTCTTCTCTTCTCTGCATCTGTTTTTTTTTCCCACTCAGCCTCCTCCTCCGCCTTCTCTGCAGCTGTCATTGCTGCTGCCTTTCTTCCCTGCTTTGGCTGTAGACTTCTTCCTTCATTTCTTGGTGTCACCTAGGTTTGGTTACCCTCTTTATTACATTTAATGAACTACTTCATTGTTATTTAATACTAGTTGAATTGAGTTTCATTTAGTGGTTGTCTAGATAATATCTCTACAGATTGTGTAGCTGCTTATCATCTTAGTTTTTTGTCCATTTATTTTGGAGATACATTTGCTGGATTTGGGGTACCTGACACTGGTTTATTTGATACATCATATTCCACATTTTTTTAAGACTAGTCTGGAAAAATCAATCAATTTTTTCTTCTCTCTTAATGAACTGCAATAGTATTAAGCTAACTTTTGGGCTGACTATTCAGGGCCTGCATAATCTGGTCAGAGATGCAAGTTGCTGGCAGCTGGAGCACGAGTGGCGGCAGGATATTGCAGTTGTTACAAAGTGGCTATCAGGAGTGTCTCCCGTAAGCATTTGTTTGTCTCTTCTTGTTATTTGAGTTTGTAATCCTTTGCATTTTGATTTTTATTTCTGTTTCTCTACTTGTAAAAATTAGTATAGGTGGCTTTCCTCGAGATCCAGTAGTTCTGCTAACTCAAGGTCAACTTTTGAGGAAAAATTTCTTTCACAGCAGCCTCAAGCTCCAGGTTAGTTCTTTTTCCTCTCTGCTGATTATCAAAATGGGGATCCGGACGATCCAAAATTGCCGCCAAAATGATCCAAATCGTTGTAAAATCTTTATTAAAGCAGGATCTAAAGTAGGATTGTAGGTGGAATCAGAGGCGTTTTACTCTGCCTCGGGCTGGTTTAGTTTGACTTATGCTTGTTAAGAAAGCTGTAGTATTGATTATTCCTTCTGCATGGTTTTGTAAATAAATGGCATGTATGGCTATTTTTTGTTTTTATCATTGATATGGAGAACTAATAAATCAAATTATTACATGCATGACAAGATTATACTGGCATTAACATGATCAGAACATGAAGAAGGGACTCATCCATTTTGTGGGTTGCACACTTTTAAAAAGTATGCGTAAGTTTGCATCTGAATATTCCACTCTCTTTATAAATTAAGAAGGAAAACTTAATTTGTGACACAAAAGATCTTCCTAGACTTAGCTGCTTCAATTTTGAGGTAATGTTTGCATTAGATCAAGGTTCTTAATTTTGAGTATCATATTCAAATAACTTCAACTTGGTAATTTCCATCGTAGATCAACTGTTCATCTTGGTTACATGGTGTGAAGCCCATAGGCTTTGTTTTAGGTTTTCAAAGTGGATATTCTTTATCTAACCAAGCAGTAGCTGTTACATCAATTTATGAATAGTCCATGTTGTATATTTGTTGAACACCTTACTGGTTTTTCTTGTACAGTTGTGCTTTTCAATTACCATATCTGTGTTTTACTTTTGAGGTCCTTTTGGCACCCATGACTCTGCAATACTTTATATTGGGAAGGTTGATACGTATTCAAATTCCATTTTATTTGTATGCATGGCTTCTTTTTACTTGGAACGAAGAAACATTTATTGTAATGAAATGGAAATCATGGAAGACAAAGAACCATATTTTGGAGACGAAAATGCACGAGGCGAATGTGAAATAGGATATCAACGAGACAGATCCTTAATGAACATCATTATGTTGGTTAGAATGATTAACATTAACATATGAAGCACGGACACCTCTTTGGAGGTGGTGTATAGGTATCCGACATGTGTTGGACATGGACATGCGCCGGGCATGCTCTGGACACATGTCAAACACGATGGATAGAGTCGGACACGCTGGGACACTTGGGACATATTGCAGACACGTTGAGGACACGTTGGGGACACTCAAAGGACCATTTTTTCCAAAAAAAATTTAAATTTAAATTTAAATTTTCTTTACTATAATAGCATACCTAAGGTTGATAAATTTGATAAAATGAAATATTTCACATAAAAATAAATATTAAAAGTTTAAAAAATATGGCACAATAAATATATAAAATTATATGTTTTGCACGTGTCTCTAACGTGTTGTGTTCTACATTTTTTGAAAATTTGCATGTCCATGTCGTGTTCGTATTCGTGTCGCGTCACGTGTCTGTGCTTCTTAGACATTGACATTAAGAAGAAGAAATAGATAAGCATACATTGGATTTGTGCATGACACATGACATGAGTGTAGCACGATTCACAAATAATTGATATTTTAGAAGAGAAACAACATTTGCAACATTTGCATTATTGTTAATCCCAGTCTCTTATAATCAGGAGGTCAAGGATTCAAGAAGAGGCTCTCCCTTGGTGTCTATTGCTGGGAACAAAATTGGGCTTGCAAGCTTTCTTGGATTAGGAAGGTTCTTTGCAGGCCTAACCTAAATTCTAGGCTCACCATTAGTCCAGAGCAATATGGATTCTGACAGTTTCCAGTAGCCTAGTATGGCTTATGTTACCCTTAAATTTGAAATCATGGTTGATTTATGTTACTAGTGGTGAATATTGGAGTGGAGGGGTAAACGTGCTCATTGCTCGCGTTGTTGTTTGTTGTCATCAATCATCATCAGTTGGAACTTACCTAGTGTTTTTCTTTCTCCTTTCTATTAATTTATTGTTTTATCAAATTTGAACAGCGTATCAGATCTCCTTATCTGATGCAAGTTTTTGGTTTGATTTCAGCTGGGTGGCCAAATTTTCTGTGTGTCTGCTCTGTTTTCTCATCTGGATCAGTTCAACTTCATTGGGCTCAGTGGCCTCCTAATCAAAGTGGTGCTGCATCAAAATGGTTTTGCACAAGCAAAGGGCTCTTGGGAGCTGGGCCTAGTGGGATTATGGCTGCTGATGCTATAATAACAGATGCTGGTGCCATGCATGTGGCAGGTGTTCCAATTGTAAATCCTTCAACCGTTGTTGTTTGGGAGGTCACACCTGGCCCTGGAAATGGATTTCAAGCAACTTCAAAGGCAAGTATAAGCACTGGGGTCCCACCTTCACTTAATCCTCCTTCTTGGGATGGTTTTGCTCCTTTGGCTGCTTATTTATTTAGCTGGCAAGAGTATTTCATATTGGAAGCGAAACAAGGGAGAAAGCACACAGATCAAGATTATTGCGATATGGTATCACTTCATTGCTCACCAGTCTCAAATTTTTCTGCATATGTGAGTCCTGAGGCAGCAGCTCAATCAGCAACAACCACTACATGGGGTTCTGGAGTTACTGCAGTTTCCTTTGACCCGACTCGTGGTGGTTCTGTAATAGCTGTGGTGATAGTTGAGGGTACTGAGTTGTATTTTTCTTTAAAACTGAACTTGTGTTTTGTTTTCTTTTTTTCCCCATCTAATTTTTATTCTATATGCTGAGGAAGCCCTTGTCTTCTGCCTATGTATTTGTGGTTGTGTAGTACTAATTTATTTACAATGTATTTAGTTTATGTTGGTCAATTAGCTTCCTTGACTGATGTATTTATATTTAGTTATCACATTTTAGGGGCAGCTGAGGTTATTTGATGGATTATTTATGTGGTTGGTTACTGATTTCTTGTCATTTTTTTTTTTACTATTGTACTTTTTGGCCTTTAAATGTCTATTTGACCTTTGATTTGAGCTGCATGAAGTGGTATAGCTGTGTATAATCCTTTTTGTACTTGTTGATGGGTAATGGAAGGCTAGCTTCATCATCTTAGTTGTCGAAATTCATTTTTTAAGCCTGACCAGTTCAGCTCACACATGAATTTCACACTTTTACCCTAGTTTGGATACTTGCAACTGTTTAAGTGCAGTAAAATGTGCGTGTGATGCACGAAATTGTAAATGATTACGATGCGTTGGTTTAAGCTTAGTTTTGTCTATATTGTAGCCACTACCTAAGTTTTTTATTTTTATTGTTCTGTCACATAAGCATATAGTCATGTTCACACATAGAAGACATAATATTTACGTCCTGTACTAAACAAACCATTGGAAATTCACTGCACATATATAGCTTAATTTTGGTAATTATGTGACTTAAGTCCAACCGCTTGTTTGGGTTGGCGTTCAGAACTAATCAAATCTTGATTTTACCCATGCAGGGCAATACATGTCCCCTTATGATCCAGATGAGGGTCCTTCAATTACAGGTTGGAGAGTTCAACGCTGGGAATCATCTCTTAAGCCTGTTGTCCTCCACCCAATATTTGGAAACCCCACTTCAAGTTTTGGTGGGCAGGCTCCTATGCAAACAGTTTGGGTAACCACAGTGAACAAATGCATTCCACCAACCAATGACTTCAAAATTCACCAAGCAGCTGTGGCTGGGCCATGCTCTGATTTGAGAAGCACATCTGATTCTAGTCTTGAGAAGACGAAAAGGGTCTGTTTTGATCCCTTTGATCTTCCAAGTGATGTTAGAACTCTTGCTCGAATTGTGTATTCTGCGCATGGGGGTGAGATTGCTGTTGCTTTTCTACGAGGTGGGGTTCACATTTTTTCTGGTGCAAGCTTTTCATCTGTTGATAACTACCAGATTAACGTTGGTTCTACAATTGCTGCTCCTGCCTTCTCATCAACAAGCTGCTGTTCAGCATCTGTTTGGCATGATACCAGCAAGGATCGTACTATATTGAAGATAATTCGTGTTCTTCCTCCTGCTGTTCCGAGCAGTCAAGTGAAAGCAAACTCATCAACCTGGGAGCGTGCAGTTGCAGAGAGGTAGTATTACATATACGTTCAGGACTAACTTTGATATCTGAGGTAGTAATGTTTTTGATATTGCTACTTGAATTTTGACCGATTGTTTGTTGGGTTGAAGTTATTCTGCCGTGGCAATTATTAATGATTTTTTTAATTTAATTTTGTTTTATTTTTTTTCTGTACTGAATATCATGTTTTGTCAGAGCAGGTTCTGGTGGAGCCTGTTGGTTGGAGTTGATTGGTGGGATGCCGTTGGCTGTACACAGAGTGCTGCTGAGGATGGCATTGGTGATCTTTAAATTATTTGATGCTTTTGATGTGATTAATGATAGAATGCTAGAAAATTTCCCTAGTGAACCTTAAGGCTATGTTTGGATGACATGAATCAAATAGTAGGAATGAGAATTCTATTACTACTACTAGTAATTATATTCCTGTGTCAATGTAATTCAAGCGTTGCGTTTGGTTTGGTTTGGTTTGATTTGGTCAGGCATCCTTTATAGGAATATGCTTTTGTTTTAAATATTGTGGGCCCATCTTTTTTTTTTTATTCTTAAATGAGTCATATTTCTCCAGGAATGTGAATTCCCATTGGCGGATGTGGGAATAGGATTCTCACTATTGTGGTAATCTCATTCTGCCTTGGGAACCGAAGTAAGAATCATGTTCCCATTTATGGAGACACCCAAACAACGGAATGAAAGGGACTTGGAATGAGATTCCCATTCCGCCTATCCATTCCTGCCATCGAAACATGGTCCAAGTGTGTCACTAACATTGAGCTCAGTAATAAATATGATATATTCTGACCATTTAGTCTATGATATTTGACCCTAACTGTTGGATTAAATCCAACACAATATACCGGCTGAATTGTGGGGGTTTGTTGTTTGACTCTTATGAACAACTTATGAATAAGTTTTTTAATGAAGAAAAAGACTATGAGATAGTAGTGTTTATTCAGTGATGGCATATCCACCGGGTGCCAAAAAAAAAAATGCAATTTTCGTGGAAGCCTAAAATGGATTTAGTCTATGATATTTGACCTTAATTGTTGGATTAAATCCAACACAATGTACCGACTGAATTGTGGGGGTTTGTTGTTTGACTCTTATGAACAACTTATAGATAAGTTTTTTAATGAAGAAAAAGACTATGAGATAGTAGTGTTTATTCAGTGATGGCATATCCACCGGGTGCCAAAAAAAAAAATGCAATTTTCGTGAAAGCCTAAAAAGGCTGTGGGATCCATGACAATGACGTAGCCTTCTTGGTTAGAAGGAAAGTGTTGATGATAGCAATTGGAGTCTTTATTTATGTTTATTCTAAGATAGCGAGCTGCTCATGTATATGTATGCTTTGTTTTGTTTTGGAGTAAAGGTTATTTTTGGATAATTTCAGTATTTTCTGGACATGAACTGTACTAGTGGCCTGTGGGTCTTATTTTGAGCCATGTCATGTTATTGGGTCATTTTATGTGGACATAGGCTTAGTAAGTGTTCCCAAGTGTTATCAAGTATATAAGAATCCAGGGAAGACATAATTTTTAGAAAGAAGTTTCGCGAATGAATTACATATAAATGAAATTATGGCCATTGTAGAACTTAATAGTTGCATCTTACGAATATGGATCCCGAGACCTTTATATAAATAAAATTTATTGATTATGAATTTACAGGAATATCTCTATGTTGTATGATGAGCTTTTAGCTTTTACCTCTTGTAGTCAGCTGACGAAAGTTTTTTTTGTTTTTTTCTTTTCAGTTTCACTGAACAGTGTTATTGCCGTGTTGGATGCGGATTTCCATTCTCTTCCTTCAATTCAGCATAGACAGCAGTATGGTCCTGTATGTCTCATTGAACTATTGCCAAATTCTTGCCTCATGGTCTTTATATTAAAGCCTCCATCATGTATATGTGGATATGTTATGTAATTCTTAGTATTTATTGATGGTTGTCTGTAGAGTTTGTCTTTTTACATTGTCCTTATAACTATCAGACCCTATCAATTCCAAACAAAAATCATCCTGAGAAAAAAAATTATACTTCTTACTTCTTACTTCTTACTACATTGACGTGAATTGGTGTTGCATGTGTAAGGCTGTAAGCACGATGGGGAGTCTGTGAGTCATCTTCTTATTCATTGTGAGGTGGTGTGAGATTTATGGTCTTTGCTGCATCTTATGTTTGATGTAGAGTGGGTGTTCCCTGGTAAGGTGGTGGAGCTTCTTTGTTCATGGAGAGGAGCTTGAGTGGGGAGAAGTAGGAGGAAGGCTTGGTGTTTGGTTCCTTTGGCATTGATGTGAATGGTTTGAGGAGAATGTAATAGAAGAATTTTTAATGGGGAAGGAATAACCCATTTTTAAGAAATAGAGTAGATTATTGTAATTTTTGTTCAGTTAGATATGATTTGCGAAGTCATCTAATCCTGTACATTTGCATCCATTTTCATACCCTAGTCTCTGTATTACGTGCCTTGGGGTTGGGGGAAGGGAAATTTAGTCAAAACCCCTCCATTAGACCCTTGTTTGATAAAAAGGACAGTCCAGTTTATTTTTCTTCATAGGAGAAAACACATAATTGAGTAAGGATAAAGTAAAATATTTTATTTTATTTTTTTCTTTCTTGGACAATATTGTCAGAATAACATGTTACTGTGAACCAGAATAACATGTTACTGTCAAATAGAATAATTGTCAAATAGAGTAACATGTTACTGTGAGACAGAGTAACATATTACTATTATTGTTTACATCAATTTCAACGGTAATAAATTTTTTTTTTTAAAAGAATTTCATAGTCAACATGGATCTTATTTGATACATCTTGACGAGAGAATTCTAAAAGTATTAAGTTTATTAAAAACCAACATCTACATCAAAAGTTATATGATTTTAAAGTTTAATATTTTGATAATAGTGATATTTGTTGGACTTTTCAAGGAATTTTTTTTGTGCTTGTCCTTAATGCATTAAAATTTTATTATGAGAGGGTTTTGAGTCCCAAATCCCCCTTTTGTGCCTAATCTTCATTTACTAGTTTGGACTAAATTGCTTTCTTCCAAATCATATAGTTAGAACCCACTTAGTTATGCGTTTCTATTTCTGCCTTAGTTGACTTGTTTTTGCACAATGCAGAGCCTAGACAGAATAAAATGCAGGCTATTGGAAGGTACAAATGCTCAAGAGGTTAGGGCAATGGTTTTAGACATGCAAGCAAGGTTGTTGCTGGATATGCTAGGAAAAGGAATTGAATCAGCTCTGATTAATCCTTCAGCTTTGGTTTCTGAGCCTTGGCAAGAATCTGGTGATAAGTTATCCAGCATTGATCCTGAAGCAATGGCTGTTGAACAAGCACTAGTTTTAAGCATCCAGGTTTGCTTCTGGTTGTTTTCCATTTTCTGTGATTTTATGGCTGCTCATTGTCATTTTTCCTTTCTTTTAAAATATGATCTGAAATCCATGGTGTCTCCCTGTGGTGCTTTTCTAATTTCTAGAACAATATAATGCAGGCTTATGTTGATGCAGTACTTGACCTAGCATCACATTTCATAACACGGTTGCGACGTTATGCTAGTTTCTGCCGCACGTTGGCAAGCCATGGTAATCGCAATATGGTGGCTAGTCCTACTCAAAATTCTGCCTCACCTGCTACAAGTCAGGGTCAGTGTGGGCCACATCTTCTAATTCTGTAATATCAACGGATTGTTTTATAATTCTGGTTTCATTTCCAAGAGGAAATATTGTGCTTCCATGGAACTGTTGGAATATTCATCTATTTGTGTTTTCTCTACTCTTCCTTCTCTCTCTGGTTGTTGTGCCATTTCTTAAAACAACGTAACTCCATTTTTTGCCAGGTGGTCAAGGTGGTACTGCTAGTTCAACCGGAAGCACTCAGATGCAAGCATGGGTACAAGGAGCTATTGCTAAGATTAGCAACAGCACTGACGGAGTTTCAAATTCAGCTCCAAACACTATAAGTGGTCCTTCCTCCTTTATGCCAATAAGTATTAACACAGGAACTTTTCCGGGAACTCCAGCAGTTAGGCTCATCGGGGACTGTCATTTTCTTCATAGGTTGTGCCAACTTTTACTGTTCTGTTTTTTCTTTTGGCGAACGCAGCTACCTCGCTTTATTGGGGGTGCTCAGAGAAATTCCGATACAAATATGCAAAAACCTCATCTTGGTGCTCCAGGCAAGGTCGAAGAGATCAACTCTGTCCCTACAAAACCAACACCTGGAATGGCCAGATCGGAAGCCTGCTGCTCCTGGGAAGGTGGAAGAGATCAACTCTATACCTACAAAACCAATATCTGGTATGACGAGGTCGGAAGAAGTGCAGGCAGCTCGGGGTGGTCAAGCCATATCTGGAACAAAAGTACCTGAAGAAGGTCCTGCTGGCCGATCAAGATTGGGTTCTGGTAATGCTGGACAAGGCTACACATTTGAGGAGGTAAAAGAGGATCCTAATACGACATGATTTGAATTCAAGATTTAAGTATTTAACATACAACCAAGTATATGTATTGTTGAGTTTTCAATGTCATTATCAGGCTAAATGTCTTTATTTCATCAATGAACTTAGAAACTTGCTTGCATGTTTTAAAGTTCTGAGATTCAACAATCACCTGTGGCATCCTGGATAATTCTTGTTTATTTATTTATTTAAAATTCTTGAAGGTTTCAGTAAGGATTGCATGGTTGTACGTAGGGTTCTTATATGTTTTCTTACTGGTTTGCAGGTGAAGGTCCTCTTCCTTATACTTATGGATCTCTGTCGGCGAACAGCCGGTATGGTACACCCCTTACCAGTTTCTCAGGTGGGAAGCAGCAACATCCAGGTCCGCCTGCATTATATTGATGGTAACTATATCGTCTCGCCAGAAGTTGTGGAAGCATCCCTCGGCCCACATATGCAGGTAGCTGCATTCCTGACTAAATCTTCTGGAAGAACACTCCTACTAGGGACCTACATCTGTTTTATTGTGATGATTCCACTTGCTTTTTCTGCCAAAAATTACTCGTAAACTGATTGTTTGAATATAATTTTGTTATCTCCAATTACTTAGTTTTGAATTAATCTTGACTCTTGATTTTGCTGTGAACTATCCAAAACCTAGCATGGGTGCTGGTACGGATGCCAGTATTGGTACAATACGGGTACACTGAAACGTTAAAATCTAAAAAACGTAAGGTACGGATATAGCTGGGGTACGTCAATTTTTAATTTTTTAATTTATAGCTAAACATCCCACTTACAAATCAAAGTTCAAAACAATAACTAAAAAGAGAAATTACAAAACCAAAAATAAATTAATATTTAACAATACCAATACAATACTAAAGTAAAATCCTAAACCTGATATACTCATATTCTTATAACCATTAAGACAATAATTTGTGAATTCTTTCACTTCATTCAAGTATATAATTTTCAAATATTCAAATAACAATTTAAAAACATCAATATTATGAAAGTAACGATGAAACATCAATATAATTTTCAATATTCCTATAAACATCAATTCGTTATTTTTATTTTATATAATTCTAATTGTCTACTAAATATACAACAATGGTAGAAGAGGGCAAAATTACTCAATAACAGTAAAGAGTAGGTGGTTCCAAATCACCTAAATTTTTTGAAGATGATTAAAGAGGAATAAGGCTATAGACTTGCATCAAATTCCAACGTCTAGGGGGAAAAAAAAAAAAAAAACTGATGTGGAGTACCCACCACGTATCCATGGCTTACCCAACTTTCCCATACCCGTATACAGCGTACCCGGTATGCGTGACCTGGTAAGTATCCGGTACTTGTATTGCAACATTTTTGGAGTACCCCGTGCTTCATAGTCCAAAACGCTATGTTTGAATTTGAAATTACTTTTCTGGTGATATGGATCACTTTCGCCTCTGATATTTTCTCTCTTATTGGTCTTCTACATAGAATATGCCACGGCCTCGAGGTGCTGATGCTGCTGGTCTATTACTCCGTGAGTTGGAACTCCATCCTCCAGCTGAAGAATGGCACCGGAGAAACATGTTTGGTGGGCCCTGGTCTGATCTAGATGATATGTGCCCTGCTGATGATCCTTCCAAACTTAGCACTTCCTCTGACCCACTAAAGCTGAACTCATTGGAAAGCTATGATATTTATTATGGGGCTAATGGGTTGTGGCCAAGGAAGCGCAGAATGTCAGAAAGGGATGCAGCTTTTGGCTTAAACACTTCTGTGGGCCTGGGGGCATATCTTGGTATAATGGGATCTCGAAGAGATGTCGTAACTGCTGTATGGAAGACTGGTCTTGATGGAGTTTGGTACAAGGTTCAGTAAAAGCTCTCCTACATCTTTCTTAATTTGTTTGTTGGGCATCATTTTCAAGATTCTGCTGTATGTCTTTGAATCATTGTTTGATGATTTCTGATTAACTTTAAACGTTTGTCAAATTTGGCAAAAATTCGAAAACTTGTGCTTGAGAGGATTGGGATTAGGGATTCGGTGACTCCATTTAGAAATATCTAGAATGACAAAGAATTATTTATGACATCACCGAATTCCTAATCCCAATGGTTATTAGCAACACAGCGGGGGGTAGCCCTCCCCCCTACCAACCTAGCTGACGGCAAGATTTGATCCCAGGCCTCTGGTACCCACACCACCAGCTAAGCTAGCTAGTACCTTCGGAAGGGCTACTGTTTTGCTGTTTTGGTGTTGGTGTCAAGATTGTAATCTGGTAATTTAGGGGTTGTTGGGATGATCTAAATAAGTGCACTTTTTGACTTTTTATGAAATATGGGTTGAGTTTGGGTTGGGCTTGAAGTGATGTGTTAGAGAGGTGATGTGACTTAAATAAGATGATGTGACTTAAGTAAAATAGCGACTTTTTGACTTTTTAACTTTTTCTAAACATCCCAAACTTGCCCTTAGTAAAGATTTTAGATATTGTTCAATTTGGTTTTAATTTGAAGTCGGAAATCTGAAGCAGCATTGTGTTCTCTCTCTCTTTTGGCTTATTGTTTCTCTAATAAGCTGTTGTGGGCATAGGCTCACCAACCCTGCCAACCCACTCCTATTTTTTCAGGGCTTGGGAAGAGTATCTTGGCCCGTAGGGTGAGGCTGGACTAATATTTTAAGCCCATTTAATAAATGAGTTGGGCTTGGGATTCAAGTATGTAGCCCAACCCAACCCGGTCTTGCCGGACAATAATATAATTAAAATATAATTCTCTTTTATTATTATTATTTATTTACATAATATATTAAAATATATATAAATGCCTCTAGCTTCTAGGTTTTATAAATGCCTCTAGCTTCTAGGTTTTCTTTTAAACTTTCCAATCTCATGAGCTCTCCCGTAGTGGTTGAGGGCTGCACTGGCTTGGGAAAATGTTTTGTTTGTTCAAGTTCACCTCGTAACAATTATTGCGTAAATGTCTTTGGAAGTTAATGACCGTTTTGCTTTTGGAGGTTTATGGCCATGGCTTTATTTTATTTTTTTAATTAGTGAAGAACTATAATTTGTTTAATCTGTTTGGTTTGGCATGTCGAGTTGTTTAGATGGTTTTAAATGCAATTTTTTTAACAAAATAGTCTACGTATAGGCCAGATGTCTTAACAAAATAGGCTTTTGGTTTTGGTGAGCGTTTTGCTTTTGGTTTGGAAGTTAATTTGTTTAATCTATTTTTTAACAAAATAGACCTGATGGGCGGGTTCAGGAAATATATTTTCTTTAGGGCTGTGTTTGGGATGACTATATAGGCCAGATGTCAGCGCTGGGCTTGGGCAAAGACAAAGCCCCTTATTAGGTAGTCCATGCCCCACCCGTAGTCTTGAGTTGTGGACAAATAATCCAAGTAATAGCCTCACTGAGCCTATGTAATTGCTAGGTTCTTTGGGTTATCGGTTTTCTCTGTGGCACGCTATGATAAGTTCAACGATTGGATAAATTCATCAAAGTTGAACTTGATAATGTTGCTGTACTTAACTTTATTAAGTGAACAAAGTCTACTAAATTTATTATGTTTTTTGAGGCCTCGAGTGAAATAATTACATAGGTTATTATCTCTTATTCCTTTCATTTGTTAAATTTCTCTCTTTCTGCCGTCTCTTCCTATTTATTTTTTTAACTGATTTTTTTTCCTCATATGCAGTGCATAAGATGTTTACGACAAACGTCAGCTTTTGCTTCACCAGGTTCCAGCAGTTCACCTAATCAGAATGAGAGGGAAATGTGGTGGATTAGCCGCTGGGCTCATGGCTGTCCAATGTGTGGTGGGACATGGGTTCGAGTTGTATAGAGGGCTACATTGACCATTTCTGTTATCAAGTAGGTTTTCTTGTTCTCTGTTATGATCAGAAATTCTGGGCTGGATATGCATGTGGTAGACTAGAAACAAAATAGGAAGGACAAATGGAAGTCAAAAGTCATCTCATCTATGTGATCTGATTGCCGATTCTGGACAATGCTACTTCAATTTTCTTCTAGTGTTTTGGCAGATAAGATAATGGTTTTAGTTACTCCAACTAGTTGGCAAGAACTCAGTATGCAAAAGTGGAGGTATCGGGTTTGAAAATCTTTTCCCTTCAGGTCAGCTCCCTAACTTGAAAAATCAAATTATATACCTGCCCATGTTATTCAATCCAAGTTGCACCAATCCTCCTCTCATTTTTCTCCAACCCAACCCTACCCAACGGTTGACAGATGCAGAAAGGGTTAAGAGAAAATTATACCGTGGTCCTTGTAATTTGCCTCTTGTATCAATTTGGTTCATGTAGTTTCAATCATAGTTGTCAAATTGTAAATCGAATTGTGAATCACTTTTTCTAAATTACTTAGAAAAATATATCTACACACTTCGATGTTTATTATATCTTATAAATATAAAATATTTAGACTTAAATCAATGAAAATGTTGTTTTGAATGATGATCACATGATCTAATAGGTAAGAAGTTAGCACAGGTTCTCATGTAAGATCACCATATGACCTTTTTCGTTTTTTAGATATTACTTATTAACAATTCTTAATAAATAAAGTAAACAAAGACAAACTTTCAATTTAAAAGTAACAATAACTTACGATGATATTGATATTTCATAATTATACATACATTTACTAGTAGCAATGACCTAATAATGAGAAAGAATTAATTACATTTTTTGTTTTAAAACCTAAAGCATTTGTAAAAAATGCTGCTTGTTCAAAAAAGTATTTATATATTTTTTAAAAACTTGCAAAATCATTAGGTTTAACTAACTTCACCCATGAAGTATATTTATTTTAATAAAATAATTCTAGATAATTCATATTGCTACTTGCTTTAACCTTAAACATCTTTAGAAGATAAATTTTAAAAACATATTGGGTTTGATTGAATCTAACTAGATCTTATTAAAAAATATGTGATCTCTAAAATAACAAATCATATATATTGGTTATTTTTGTATTAAACACTATTAAAAGTTGTATTATGTCATTTTAACTAAGAAAATAGAGAAAAAAATAATTGAAATATGTTGGACATGATAGTTTTAAAAATTGTATGAATCGTAAAAAGTGAATCAAATCGTGAATTGATTATGAATCGTGTGATTTGCAAGAGATTCACTCCCAAGATAAATTCACCCATACATTCGTATCGATTTTGCAAAAAATGCGAATGGAATCATGAATCGTAAGATTCTGATAACAGAGGTTTCAATTATATCAATTTTGCCCTTCAATTTTTTCACATTGTTGTCAATTTAGTCCAATTAATAACATTTGTTAAGAAATTGAACAAAACTTAAGGGCAAAATAGTCCATTCAGAAGGGAATGCATCATTATGAATTGGACGCTTGTCAATCATTTCGAGAGGATTGAATGGACCATTTTGCCTTTTATCGCTGTCCAATCCAAATGGGTGTTATCAATTGGACTAAATTGGTATTGTGAAAAATTTAAGAGTAAAATTGATGCAATTAGAATTACCAAGACTAAATTGACACAAGAGGCTAACTATAGGATCATGAGTGTAATTTGCCCAAGAGTTTTAAAGCCAACATTGTGAGATGCTTTCCAGTAGCAACGATATTATGCATCTAAATGTGTCTTATCTTCTCCTTCATATGCACATCTTCTGTTAGTTTTTAAGTTAGATGGATCATCTTCTCTTCATCAGGTTATTCTCCAAATTCAAGCTATGAAGGTGCTCTAATTGTTTTGTTCAGCATAAAATATGGGCCACTATTATTTTAAGCTCAAATTTTCTTGTAAAGTGACTTTCACAACTGCATTCTGCAATTTGATGCATTGTGACCAGTAACTAGATCTAATTGAAAATAGTGTTTCATAGCTTTTTAAGAGTTAGGAGGGCTCAACCCATTGAGGCTAATGGAGGATTCCGGAACATTCTGGAAGATTTGAGAAATTGTGGGAATATTATACATAATTCTAGACCTTGTATAGAATATTCTAGAATAGATTCTAGATAGTTCTAGGAAGATTGTGGAAAGCCCTAAAAGGATTCCACACACAACATTAATTGTATATTCTAGATTGTTCCTAGGAGGCTAGGTTTGACCTCATTTGGTGAAACCATCCCTGGGAAGTGTAATCCAAGTGAATACAAAGCAAAACATTTTTCAAGAACTTCTCTCTCTAGAAAGCCTGCTTTAAACCATAGAGAGCCTTCTTCAAGAGACAAACATGATGGGGATGAGATGTACTGGTGAAGCCTGGAGGCTGTGTCATGTAGACTTCTTCTTCCAAGGTACCATGAAGAAAAGCATTACTAATATCCAGTTGCTTGAGAGGCCAGTGATAATGCAGAGCAACACATAAACTTCATCTACTCCTTAAGTGCTGTGAATCTTTCCTAACTCTCTTCCAAATAGGCTGACTTAGGTGCAAACTAGGTAGGTGTCAAACATCTAAGGCCACATAGTTGGCTTGGAAAAACCAAGGTCGTGACATAGGGCACAATATTTTTGTTCTAACTTCTAAGCAAATAGTCATTCTACAACTCCGCAATTGGATCATGGATGAAGTTTTCTCGTCATAAGAACGAAGTTAGAATGGTCACCGGATGATGGAAAGATTGATTTGAAGCTGAAACTGCACGTGTCACCCCTCAATTCACTCACTTTTCTATATCTTGAGAAATTCTTTTTAAGTTTCTGCACTCGTAACTTTTCTATCCCATCAAAGATATTTGAACTAGTTATATAAATCATTCTAGTCATTATAAAAGATAATTATTTTCCCATGTTTATTTCTTAGTATAACTTGTCAAATGAAATTGATTTGCCTTTAGTTTTTGACCTCTGTTTTCACCATTTGCAGGTTGTATATGCTTGTTTGTAAGCCTCATTGAATTGATTCCACAGTTACTATGTCGGAAATTCTGTAAGGCTCTGCCTGATCTTAAATCAGCTTGATATTTTTTTGCTCAGCAGTAGCCGCTTAAAGTTAATTGACCAGTTCAATCGGGAGCAAGGCTAAGAGTTATGTATTTCTACCAAACATTACCTAGATATATGATGTTGATGTTGTGCAATGCCCAATCTCAAATTTTATTTTTTTATTTTTTATTTTGTTTTTGTTGTTGTTGTTGGAGATTCACGGTTACGGGATGACGGTTTCTTCCTAAATGTGAATAAATAGGGTGTGGATTTGGATGTAATAGCATGTAATTGGAATCATCTGGAATATAGTTGTCTGGTGTACTTGGTGCTTTCTCAAAACAGTTATGTTTGACATGATCAAACATTACTTGCCCCTCTTTTTCTTCTCCATTTCAAACTAATGGTTGTCTAAGAGCTTGTCCAACCTTTCATTGTTTTTTTAAATATCTAATTTGATTTAAAATTTGTGTAAGAAGTTTGATTTGATGTGAATTACATTTTTCATCAAATGTTCGTCAAAATCATTTTAAAAATTCTCCTCTCATATCAAAATTTTCTTTTTTCTTTTTATTTATCAAATTTAATGAAAAAAACATCTCAAATGTTTTATCTTTTTAAATTTAATTGATGAAAGATTTGTTGAATTCTCAATTTGATGAAAAAATCTCTTAATTTGATAAACATTTGATGAAAGAATTGGAGATGGTTTTTGAGTATTTTTTTTATCAAATTTTTTGTTATTTATTTTTTTTTTTTAAGTGAAGTTATAATTTAACAATAAACCTAAGGATAACTTGAGCTTCTTATGCCTAATAAAAATCACGAGAATATTATGAATAATTTTCAATCTTGCAATTAATTTTAAGTACTATTGTGAATAATTTAAAAAGTTATTTGCTATGTTTTAATAATTTTCAAATACTTAAATCTCTTGAATATTGTGAACAATTCTATATTTTCTTGAATTTCTCAAATTTTTGTTTTTTTGGAGCATGAACAAGGAAGTTTTATTAATAAGAAGGCGTGAAACAAAGAGAGGATAAGGAGCACTTGAGCATTGAAAAGAAAACAAAGCAAAAATGACAACAACAAATTGAAAAACATCCCAAAATTAGGTCTCGTTTAGCAAGTGTTCTTTTTAATAAAAAATTATTAAAAAAATAAAAAAATCAACAACCCATACCAAAAAGTTAAAGATTCTTTTTTTTCTTTACTTTTTGCACATCTTTTCGTAAAAAGTTAAAAAGTCATTCCAAACATACTAATTTTTTTTACATCATATTTTAGTTAAAAAGTCAAAAAGTTACTAAAAAAACCTGTTTTCAAATGAGGCCTTAAGAATGTGTTTTTCCCAAAACTAAGAATGACAAATAGTAACCCAATTTCTAGAAATCATAAAGAATGAGACTTCTTAAAGAGATACAAAAGCCCAAAATGAAGCAAAATAACCCATCTTATTCCACAAAGATGCCACATTTGACTCCTATTCATTAAAAAACTCTTGCATTTCTTTCCACTCAAATGTTCCAAAAGATATAAAAAACAAAGTGAGATCACAATGTTTTGGCTTTCTTATTGTTGCCAAAACCTATAAAATTAAGGAGAAACATAATCGAACACACTCTTGGAGCTGCCCACTGCACACCATGAAGCGAAACAAATGTTGCCATAAGACCAGTGCCATTGGACAATAAAAGAAAAATAAATGATTTGTTGATTTCACATTCCTCTTACACATTATGTACCATTGAGGGCCAAGGACATGATTAGGCTCCTTTGGAAGAGATCATTAGTTATTACACTTCCTAGAGCTAAGGACCACATAAAAAAAACTTAACAACAATCGCTTTCCAGATTTTCTTATGAAGTGGAAACAAAGGAATGAAAGAATCATCAATAATTTTATCAAACACAGATTTACATGCAAACCCCCTTGAAGAAATGATATTCCAAATCCTTTTATCTTCAGACAAGGAAGACAAACAAACTCCATCAATCAATGACAACAAAGATGTCAATTCAAGAGCTTTCCTATCACTTAAATTCCTAGGGAAATTGAGATTCCAAGAAATTGGTGCCACATTAGAACATGCTACCAATGCAATAGAAACATTCCAAGAACAAACCCATCTATAAAGAAGTGGAAAAGATCTTTTGAACAGGGACTTCCCCACACAAATATCCTCCCAAAACTGATCGTTTTCACCGTTACTGACTTTCAAAGGCAAGAATCTAGGAAATCTCCATTGACAAGAATCTACTGACCACAACACAATCTCTACCATTGGAATGAACACAATACTTGCTTTTAATGATGGAATACCATAACGACTCAATTTCAATAGGAAATTTCCATAGCCACTTTCTCAAGAGAGTAATATCCCTTATAACAATATTTTCAATAGCAAGACCCCTTTTATTCCTTGTACATCAATCTCAGACAAACTCAGACGACTTCTGCGTTCATGAATAACTGAACCACTTTCCCCTAGACCTCCTAACAACAAATCTCTTCGCTTCTTTGGTAAACCGACAGACATAGTCCGTGTCAGAATCAGAATGGTCTTGGTTGGAGCACAGTGCCAAACATCAACATTATCATTAGTATATTTTTTAGATAACCCAACAATAGAGGGGGCCTTCATTTGCGAACCTTCTGGCATGTCACTCGTAGAATACTTCAAATACCCCTTCATTTTACAATACGTAATCCCCTTTTTAATATTCGAATTTTCAAGTCGATACTTCACCATTCATGGCAGCTGTTTGTCGTTAATTGAGGAATAACCATTCCCATAATAGACTAACTCGCATTGACAATCCACAGGGAAAATAAAATACGCTTGCAGACTGTCATTACCATCTAACCTTTGATCATAAACATTTACTCTGACTAACCCACTAGTATTAGGTGCGCAAAGGGAGAAATATTTTATCAACTTTAATACTCTTTTGTTTGTATCTCAACCTCAACTGAGAAAATAAATTAGGCAAAGCAAGTTTAATACAATTGAAATCACTTGTCGAAACACCTTCAACAACACCAGTTTTTATATCGTCCACCTCTATTCACCTGAACATTACAAATAAAAATACATAAGTTTATAACTCTAAACAGTTTAAGTATATTTGACCCCTTAACATAATTTTGCATTTTTCTCCACAAACAGTAGGAACCACTAAATATATGGCACCCTTCTGAATACTTCCAACATTTCCCAACAGCGTATCTTTGTAGTCTGTCCAAACATCAATTGGGAAAAACCGGTCCACAACTTCTATCCCGTGACAAACGTACTCTTTGTCCTTGCCACCAACGAGCTTGAATCTCATTTTCTTAGCATCCTAAACATGTCGGACTGGTCAGGATCAACAATCCAGGTCTCAGGATTAGTCTCGCCATCTCCAATAAATATCTTGTCAGGTGTGGGGACGAAATCTGATGGACTATTATCACTTATGACGAAAAACAATACATAGTGAACCACAGCTTTATCTTTAGCATCTTCTCCCAATTGAATATTCCCAATTAATTTTATATGCTTAACCACGATCTTATCTGATTGACGATTACATCTTTTATTACCCAACTCAATACCATTCAGCAATCTCGCCACACCTTTATTATCAAATTTAACGTCCTTTAATTATTCATTGTACAGTTATAACTTCCTTACTCCCTTCTTAGTGTTCTTAATATATCGGGGAATATTTTGTACATACTGTCTGTGTACATACTCTGTTGTAGACACCCCATTTTTGACTGACCTTAAAATTTAGACGTCATCGATTGAGCGCTCGGTGATAGTGCATGTTGTGCTTGTTTCGAGTTTCCAGAATTTTCGGCTGAGTGCCTTGCCTCCGGGCCTCTAAACTCATTGTGTTTTGGCTCGGTTTGTGCACCAAGCCTTGTTTTCCCTTCCTTGGAGGGAGGGAGAGGTTTTGTAGGCCACCTTTTTGTGGTCGTAGATCACTTTTCTCGTTTGGAGACTAGTTTCCGATTTTCAGAGCCTTCGGCCGCGCGTCTTGTCTCGAGACCGCTTAACGTTCTCCGTTTGGCTTGGTTTTCGAACCGTGCCTTGTTGCCTTGGCCTAGAGGGCCACTGTGGTCTGTGAGACCACTTTTGGTGCCCGTAGACTAGTTTTTGAGGCTCTCGGCTGCGCGCCTTGCCTCCCGGACTTTCGTCTTGCATCCCTTTTGGTTTGTTTTTGGTACAAACCTTGTTTTCCTTGTTTGGAAGGTGGTACAAGGGTGGGATACCAGTTCTTCCCCTTGGAGACCACTTTCCTTCCTGCCAGCCAGTTTTTTGGTCGGCCAACTGGTTTTCTTGGTCTTTGGACCACCTTTTCTGGTTGGCCACCACACCACTGCCTTGCTTTCATGCTGCAGACCATCTCCCACCATGGCCGACTAGTAAAAGTAGCTGGCCGACCACCGGCAACTTTCCAGCACCTTTTTGGAGATATTTTTTAGCTAGCTGTAACAGCTGGAAGGCACATAAGTGATCCTCTATACACGTGTATGGAGGGATGGCTTTAGGCCTAAGTTTGTCCAACAAGCTTAACCTTTGGTTCTCTATATAAGAGAATCTCCTCCCTCCTCCTCCAGGTTCAGATTTTGGTACTTGAGAGTTATACATACATCTTTGTATCTATCTTGCATATTCTCTTCATTTTTTGTTCAAAAGTGCATTCTCCTCATACTATTGCACACAAACACACACTCAAACACCATACTCTTGTTACTGAGGCTCTTTGAGGTTGGTTTTGGGGTCTTTGGACTGGTTTTGATCAAGGAAAATTGTTGGAGTTGCAGCTTTAAAGGGGTTCTACAAGAGTGAGTTTCTACCCTCTTGAACCTTGCTTTTTGCTTAAGCTTTTAGCCCTATTTTCATGGTGTTTTAGGCTTAACTTCCTACTGCAAAAAGTTTTAATTTTTAGTCCTTAGCATGTTTGTTTAAGGTCTCTTTTGTGTTGGGGGTGGTTTACCCCCTTTTGTGCCTTGTTTGGCCTTATTTTGCGCTTTCCTTTTAAGCTATTGGGACCACCTTGTTTTGGCCTTCTCACCACTGAAACTCAGAGAAATTTTAGTGGTGGAAATGATGTTTTGAGGTCCCAAATAGGAGATGGTCATCCCCTCTTCTTGTATTTTGTATGCTTGCTTCATTTGCCTCATGTTTGAGCATGTTTGTTAAGCTTATGTTGGCTCCATCTTAGCATGTATTTGGGGTTATTTTGACATGGCATATCACTGTTTTGGTTTGGTTTTGTCACCTCATGCATGCTTAGTACACTTGTAGTGTAAATCTTGCAAACTAGTCTTGTATGCTTCATGAAGTAGCATGCCTTTCTAGTATGATTTGATTCTATTTCAGCATGTTCTTGGTG